GGAAAATTCAGAACAGGTCAAGCAATAGTCTGTTGACAATTGTTCCGTGCTCTTCTGATTGGTTTTTGTTTCCTTATTAGCTGACTCGTTTTTATTGTTTTTCCAAACCCGCCTGTCGGAGGACAAGCCCGACCTAAGCCAGGTCGCGCACTAAAGGTCACCCTTGTCTTCGGTCAAGTCGGGCATGTCCCCCTACAGGAGGAATATTCAGGACAGGTCAAACAATGGTCTGCTGACAACTGCCCGTGCTCTTCTGATTCATGTGTGTTCCTTATTTGCTGACTCGTTTTGTTTCTCTTCCAACACCCGCTTGTAGGAGGACATGCCCGACCTAAGCCAGGTCGCGAAGGTCACCTTTGTCTTCGGTCAAGTCGGGCGTGTCCACCTACAGGAGGAGTATTCAGGACAGGTCGAACAATAGTCTGCTGACAATTGTCCGTGTTCATCATATTGATGTTGTTCCATTATTGGTTGGCTTGTTTTTTGTTGCTCTTCCAAAACCCGCATGCCCGACCTAAGCAAGGTCGCGCACCAAAGGTCACCCTTGTCTACGGTCAAGTCGGGCATGTCCCCCTACAGGAGGAATATTCAGGACAGGTCAAACAATAGTCTGCTGACAACTGCCCGTGCTCTTCTAATGAATGTTTGTTTCTTCTTTACTGACTATTTTTAATTGTTTTTTTCCAAAACCCGCTTGTGGGAGGACATGCCCGACCTAAGCCAGGTCGCGCACTAAAGGTCACCCTTGTCTACGGTCAAGTCGGGCATGCTCCCATACAGGAGGAAGATTCAGGACAGGTCAAGCAACAGTCTGCTGACAATTGTTCTGTGATCTTCTGATCAATGTGTGTTCCTTATGTGCTGACTCGTTTGTTATTGTTCTTCGAGAGCCCGCTTGTAGGAGGACATGCCCGACCTAAGCCAGGTCGCGCACCAAAGGTCACTTGTCTTCGGTCAAGTCTGACATGCCCCCCATACAGGAGGAATATCCAGGACAGGTCAAGCAATAGTCTGTTGACAATTGTTCCGTGCTCTTCTGATTGGTTTTTGTTTCCTGATTTGCTGACTCGTTTTTTCATTGTTCTTCCAAAACCCGCTTGTAGGAGGAATTATTTACGCTTCGCGTATCCCCACCAGCCCATCTCACAGCAGCAACTCTGGCGAAGCATGCCGACAGTCGTGTTTTTCAGGCGTGTGTCCGCTTGGCCCCGCATATCTCCCCTGTTCCTCCTTCCTCCCGCCTCCTTGTACATCCTCCTTGTGGGGGGAGCGGGAGAAGGACGAGGCGGAGGAGGAGGGAGAGAAAGCGCTCCTCGTGATTTGAGTCGTTTGGGGTTTCTCGTCCTGGTGTGAGTCGTTCGGGCCCTTCTTCCTGGTGTGAGTCGTTCGGGCTCTTCGTGGTGTGAGTCGTTCGGGCTCTTCGTCCTGGTGTGAGTCGTTCGGGCTTCTCGTGGTGTGAGTTGTTCGGGCCCCTCATCCTGGTGTGAGTCGTTCGGGCCCCTCCTCCTGGTGTGACTCGTTCGGGCTCCTCGTGGTGTGAGTCGTTCGGGGCCCGCGTCGTGGTGTGAGTCGTTCGGGCTCCTCGTGGTGTGAGTCGTTCGGGCGCCTCGTCCTGGTGTGAGTCGTTCGGGCCCCTCCTTGTGGTGTGAGTCGTTCGGGCTCTTCGTGGTGTGAGTCGTTCGGGCCCCTCGGCCTGGTGTGAGTCGTTCGGGCTCCTCGTGGGGCCTCTTGGGAGCCTCTTGGAGCCTCTTGGGGCCTCTGGGGGGCCTCTTGGGGGCCTCTGGGGGGCCTCTTGGGAGCCTCTTGGGGCCTCTTGAGGCCGCTTGGGGGCCTCTTGGGGGCCTCTTGGGGGCCTCCTGGGACCGCTTGGGCGCCTCTGGGGGGCCTCTTGGAGGCCTCTTGGGATCCTCCTGGGGGCCTTTCGGGGGCCATCTTGGCCCCTCTGGGGGCCTCCTCAGAAGCGCAAGCGAGAGCTGCCCCCTGAAAAGGACAAAATGGGGCCAAAACCTTCGTAAAAGCAATGATTTTGCTATGACGGAAGATGAGCGCGGCCCCCCCAGGACGCCAAAATGGGGCCAAAACCTTAGTAAAATCAATGATTTTGACTTTAAAGAAGAGCAGAGGGGCCAAACTGGGTCCCCCCGTCGGGGCCAGAATCCTCGTGAGGGTCGTCGTTTTTTAGCCCTCCCAGGAGTCGAAAAAGACCCCTCCAACGACCCGCGAAACCCCCTCTCCAGGTCCAGGGGGAGGGGGTAGGGGGAGGGGTAAACCCCTCCCCGAAGGGGAAGAAGGGGGGTTGAGAACAGAGAGAGCTCCCTAAACCACTCACGCCCAAAGGGCTGGTGGGATTTCCAGGACAGGTCAAACAATAGTCTGCTGACGATTGTCTGGTGCTCTTCTGATTGATTTGTGTTTTCCGCCTTTGCTGGCTAGTTTTTATTGTTCTTCCAAGACCCGCTTGTAGGAGGACATCGACCTAAGCCTACGGCGGGTTCGCTCGGAGTTGGCGCGCCGGCGAGGCTGGCGAGGGCGTTCAACGCTGAGTGCTGCGGCGCGGAAGCGCCGTCGGACACGGCAGCGCCATTGGACCCGATGGTTCGGATGCGATTCTTGGGAGGCCAAATTCTGATTTTGCCTTGGTCTGAAATCCGGCTAAATCCCGCTTTATCCCATTTAATCCCGCTTCATCCCGCTCAATCCAGCTTCATCCCGCTTGATCCGAGGCCCACTCCGGCGTAATAGCCCCCAAATGGGGCTCAACCCTCCTTAGCCTTTCCGACGAAAACCTCCCAGTAGTTGCTTCCTACCGATGGGGCCCAGCTTTGAGCGATCGGGGCCGCGATCGATCGAAGGTCGAACGATCGGCGCGGTCGTGCCAAAAGCCTCTGCGTGCGCCGACGCCGCGCGAATCTGCCGCGGGGGCCACTCTGCCAGACGTCCGGCCGCTCCAATGTCTTGTCTCGACTCTGGAATCCCTCTCCTCCCTCTCCTCCCTCTCCTCCTCCTCCTCCTCCTCCTCCTCCTCCTCCTCCTCCTCCTCCTCCTCCTCCTCCTCCTCCTTCCCGTTGGCGCGCAGCAGGGCGCCCCAGGGCGGTTTGGACTCCCCGGGGTCGCTTTTTCGCCCCGAGGCTCACGCTGCTCCCGCCGTACTCCAGGTCCGCATCCCAGACATCACTGCGAGCATCCAGGAAAAAAATACCTTGTGACGTACCCAACCCATTTGTATCATGGGAAACGAGGAGTTGGCCGAAACTTGCACGGACAATCAACTTGCAGGATCCGTTGTTTGACATGTAAGCTACTTGGGACACGCGCCAATGGAATGATGCGCAGGAGAACCATACAAGAACGAAGGGCGACAACTACAATCTCGAAGAAGACATGGGGAGTCGGGAACGAAGAGCAGGAGAAAAACGTTCGGGAAGCCCACTGTGCTGGGCCCCCCAGCAGCCTTCGAAAGTGGCGACAGTTTCACAGATCGCAGCCCCCAACGGATGGCGAGGTCCCATGTGAATCCGCCGTGGGTACCCACTGCGTTGGGCCCCCCAGCAGCCCTCGAAAGTGGCGACAGTTCCACACATCGCAGCCCCCCAGGGATGGCGAGGTCCTATTTGAATCCGCCGTGGGTACCCACTGTGCTGGGCCCCCCAGCAGGCCTCGAAAGGGGCGACAGTTTCACAGATCGCAGCCCCCCAGGGATGGCGAGGTCCCATTCGAATCCGCCGTGGGTACCCACTGTGCTGGGCCCCCCAGCAGGCCTCGAAAGTTGCGACAATTTCACAGATCGCAGCCCCCCAGGGATGGCGAGGTCCCATTTGAATCCGCCGTGGGTACCCACTGTGCTGGGCCCCCCAGCAACCTTCGAAAGTGGCGACATCTCCACAGATCGCAGCCCCCCAGGGATGGCGAGGTCTCATTTGAATCCGCCGCGGGTGCAATCTGTGCTGGGCCCCCCAGCAGCTTTCGAAAATGGCGACAATTTCACAGATCGCAGCCGCCCAGGGATGGCGAGGTCCCATTTGAATCCGTCGTGGGTGCCCACTGTGCTGGGCCCCCCAGCAACCCTCGAAAGCGGCGACAGTTTTACAGATCGCAACCCCCCAGGGATGGCGAGGTCCCATTTGAATCCGCCGCGGGGGCCCACTGCGCTGGGCCCCCCAGCAACCCTCGAAAGTGGCGACAGTTTCACAGATCGCAGCCCCCCAGGGATGGCGAGGTCCCATTTGAATCCGCCGCGGGTGCACAGTGTGCTGGGCCCCCCAGCAGCCTTCGAAAGTGGCGACAGTTTCACAGATCGCAGCCCCCAGCCGCGGTGGGTACCCACTGTGCTGGGCCCCCCAGTAGGCCTCGAAAGTGGCGACAGTGTCACAGATCGCAGCCCCCCAGCTGGCACGCAGCGACGAGCGAATGCAGGGGGGAAGAGAGGGACGGGGGGGGGCGGAAAGGAAGGCGCGAGCAGTGCTCTATTCAAAACGAGAACCCAACGCAGGAGGGTTGGGAAAAGACATCGGAGCAGCGTCGAGCGCGCGTCGCCTCCCAGGGCCCGACACGTGAGAAGCCTCCAGCTCGGAATCCTCTCTCGATGGGCCTGTTTTCCACCACCACCACCATCAGTTGGAGGGGGGAAGCAGGAGGAGGAGGAGGAGGAGGAGGAGGAGGAGGAGGAGGAGGAGGAGGAGGAGGAGGCGGAGGAGGAGGAGGAGGAGGAGGAGGAGGAGGAGGACCTCCTCCCCCTCCAATTTATAGTGGTGGTGGGGGAAAAGTGGCCCATTGTCTCTGGCGATCAGGGCCAGAGCAGGTTGGGACATCATAATGAACCCGAGGCGTGCTGTGGCGCTCCCACAAGGCCCGGGCAAAAAGTCCAGGGACGACCGTTTGATTATTTTTTGGTTACTCGAAAATCATGTTTGGACTGTTGCTGATCTGTCGTCCACAATTCGCCTGTGGGGGGGACGCCCGACCTGATGACTGTCTCACGACGCCAGGGGGGTCTGGGACAGCGCACCTCATGCCGACTGCTCCCGCCCGCCGCGGCGCC